TTCAGAGCTGAAAATGTCTTTAGAGTTTTGGAGATTTGAGCCGAGGTTTTGCACATGTGTATAGTATGTCCAATCTTTTCAAATATATCGGGTTTTTTTTCAGTGAAAACATGCCCTCAGCCGCGTTACCGGAATGCAAACATGGTCGGAAACGACCTGGAAGAATACGGATACAAGGAACAGGTCGAGTTTATTTGTAACAACGGTTACGAGGGACGATTCACTGTAACCTGTGGGGATAACGGTTGGAGCGGATATTTACAATGTAGAGGTAAAAACGTTTTCCTTTTTGTTATGCTTAAAACACACATTAAGAATTTGACACTTGAGGCACTTGATGTATGTTTTCCCACTGCATCCGTCTGCCACGAACCCTACAGAAACCTAAGTGTTAGTTTTGGCCCATAGTGGATTCCAGTTGTGTTGTGTAAAATGGGGGAAATAAAAAGTTAGCAAATCCCCATGTCCTCCTCAGAGGACATTCCTAAAAACATTTAGTTTTAGGTCAAATAAGTATTACACTGCTCTGAAAACTCACTACACTAACTCCTAAGATGTTCCCTTACTATAATTAATTAAAATATTGAACTCACAACACTGGTAATTACAAAATTACAAACTTACCATTTCTCTTTCTATAAATAGTGCCTGTGTTGATGGACGCCATTTTCGAAACACAATGAAATTATCTTTTTCAAAGCCATAACCCCCACAAATGTCATATGTTTGAAAAGCCCAGGATGTCCTCTGTGGAGTACAATTGGACTGTGGCATGTATAACCTCATAGTTATGGACCAAAACCAAATGTCCTCCACAGAAGACAAAAATGAATGGGTGGGTCTCAGGGGGATATACATGTTTTTAATGTTCTACGTGGCTGTAGGAACTGTATACTATGATATACATGCAGGTGAGTCTCTTGTGTATCCATGTGTGTACTTTTGTGCTTACTGTAAACATACATGTATATGTGTGTAAATGATACTTTACTTATGTACTTGTGTTCCTCTGTTTGTCTTGCTGTATGCATGTGTGTGTTTTCTAGAGAATGCAACAAAAATGCGCATTGCGCTGGTAAAAGGTCACGGTCTGAGGATAGTGAACTCCCTGCAGAGCAGAGCAGAGGAGACTTTAAGCAACATGGAGAAGTGGTTAGAAGCCCACTATCTTCCAGCCATGAAAAGGTATGGTACAGTTCAGTGTGGGTCAATGTATGGTATTGTGTGGGCTACATGTGCATGAAGAGATATTTGAATGTGAATAAAGCAGCAATAATGTAACACTGCACTGCTCTCCCTGTATTATCTTTTTTTCTTTTTCTGATTAGTGTTATAAATGCTGTCTTTATTTTGTCTCCATGTCATAATGCTATAAAGTCAATGTGCTCGTATGTTAGACCCATAATTGAATTGTATGAGTAGTGAGCTACTGTCCTCGTTATTTGATTAAATAAATACAAAAATACATAATTCTTGTGAAACATTAAATTTCTTTCCCCAAACGTCCTGTTTGATGTTGCATGTGTCTCTTTTCTCTAGTATTGATCAACTCTCCGAAGTGATCCGCCATCACATTGAGGCTGGTGATAAGTTGAAATTTGAACTGGTGTTGGTATGTATTGCATTTTTAAAGGTTGTTTACTTTTTTGTAAGATATTTGAAAATTCTTCCCATATCTTAATTGTGGAGCTCACTGGTTGAAGGGTAGTTCGAGGATAACACTTCAATTGTTTTTCCAGCATGTGACATTTGACAGAACCACAATCTCCTCTAACTCTTCTATATTGTTTTTTACAGGAATGTACTGACTTCTACCTGAATGGAGACTGCCTCATGGTGGCTAGCCCGGCCCCCCCTCCCCGCCCAGCTCCTCTGGAGAAACCCACAGGGTCCACCCCAACAATCACCCAGCTACAGTCCCTCCACCAACAGCTATGCAACGTTGCTCCATCAGGTTAACACAGAGCCGACAGGATGTAAAGTTATGGCTCTATGAGTACTGCTATTTGACACCCATCCTTTCCCTTCCTTTCTAACATTTAGGCCTCATATCCAGTTCTGAGTTCTACAGTTTGCTCTGGGATCTCATAGTTGTTACACTGGGCAAAAACACCTTGCCTGAGCCCTGGATTAAACAGAATGAAACACAGGTACTCTTCAATTATTCTAGACACTCAAAAACACAAGAGCACAAATGATTTATTCTATTATATTTGTCATTTCTCACAGCATCAAATTCTAATAATCCCTCTGCTGACTACAACCTAGTGTAGAGCAAGACAAAAGAACTCCTTCACCACACCGTCCTGTTACAATAAAAGAACCATCACATTGCTTACAGGAGAGTTGTCCTTTTCTCTCCTCCCCTTAGAGGATGGAGATTGTGTCTCTGCTAACAGATGAATATGAGCTGATAGACTGGCGTAAGTTTCTGCTCAGTGCTGCCCTCCCTTGGCCATTCCCCTCCCTGTCACAGCTGCTGACTGTGCTCCAACGCTTCAAGGCAGCCGATCGTGGAAACACAGGCTATATAAACGAGGAGCAGTACCTACAGGTCTCTGAACACACACACAAATCAGACACAACACTATATACTGTATACTTTACATATTTTTGGTGACAACTGAAGCATCATTAAAAATAAAAATAAATGTTGAAGTTACTCGTCCTTTCTCACCAGACCGAGCTGTGGTTTTCCAGTGAGAGTGTCCTGCCCGTCCCAGAAGACCCCTCAGAGCCTCTACCTTATGACCGTCTGGCTAACCTACGCAAGGTAACATCCTGCTAAGTCTGACAATTTCACTCCAAACCAATGTAAATATTCATGAAATGGGAAATTCAAGTGGTCATGGCACGTAAAAGAACCATCTTCCTTCTTAGTTTTTTTTCCAGTTGTTTGCGGACCACTCTTTCTCTCCATCTCGACTGGATTATTTAACCATGCTGCAGTACTTTGCAGCCGACCCTAACCCCAGACAAGGTTTCATCAGAGCGCTCAGTGTCGTGCTAGGACAACATCTCAAGCACTCCTCCCAGGGACATCTTGTCAAGGTGAGATAACAAAAGGACAAACATGCTCGAATGAAAGGAAAAACCATTGCAAAAGCACCTTTTCTTCATCTTCTTTAGTCACAAACATTGTTATTTCCTGTCACAGGGTTATATAAGAAACCCTTTATTATTATTTTCAGTTATGCCAACAAGATTTTTTTTTATACATGCATCAGATATTTTTGTGGTTGGTGATTTGTTTTGGAAAGAAACAAGTGAGTGTTTTCAGTACAGACTATTGCACTTGAATTCAACAGTGTTACTTCAGTATGCTTTATACACACAGTCGATGCCCAGTATAGAAGAGGCTACAGAGTTGGATGAAGACTACAAAGAAGCAGAGTGTGCGTTAGCATCAAGCAGTCTGCTGGGGGAACAGGAAGTGTCCCTCCCTGCTCTCCTCGCTGTCATCTCCCATAAAGTCACCAAAATAAAAGACGTCATCCACCTTCCTCCAGACTGCCTGAGTCAAGAGGAGCACACTGAGGTACAACAGTTCAAACTGAGCTTTAAAGGAAATGCACAAATTAGTAGTTTAATTCAATAAGGAATACAATTGTCGACTTAATGTACTAAAATATGAAAGGCTTCTTTTTCAATTCAGCAGAATGTATTTATCCCTCAGGAAGATTAAGTATTCTATTTTGCTTTCTACTCTTCACCATCAATGTTTCGAAACAATTTTAAAATATGAAGGGGACAGTCCACACCTTATATAACATAGTTCACTTAAAATAAATGACACTAAACCTTTTTTCAATACCGAGGATTAAATGAAAGCAATATACTTGAGCTAATATATGTTTGAATGACTCTGGGTTTTCTGTTCTCTGTAATCTTTTGAGGAATTGTTCTCTGATTAGAATTATTAACCATATTAGTAAAAGGAAACTCTTCCCTAATGGTTCTTCTCTGCTTGCCCTTAGCAACTAGCGCATATATTCAGAGCGCTGGGCTACATGCCTGAAGACTGTATCCCCTTCTCCGTTCTCTCTCTGCACCCTTTCATCCAGGATTTGATGGAGACCTCAACACACTTTCAGCTTGTAGTAAGTCTGGACACACATCTATTTGTGATTTGTTCCCCTAAAACAATGTTTGGTAGTTTGGAATCCACAAATAGCACACTGCTTGCTGCTGTGACCACTGTCCTCACTGTCCTCACTGTCCTCACTGTCCTCACTGTCCACCATCATGTGCATCAAACCTCCTTCCAATTCACCTTTTTTTGTCATCTCTTCCTCCCTTTTAACCTTTTTCTTGACCTAAACTATCTCTTAATCCCCTCTCTCTTCCTTTCTATTTGTCCCTCAGAACATTCATAGAGTGCTACTGGCTCATCGAGATGAAGGAGAGGCTAACAGCTCAACAGTTTCCTAAAGGATGACACACATATGCTCTGCTCCACATTGAAAATGCTTTGGCCACGTGTGAAGTATTCTCGTTACAGTTACCTTTGACATCTTCGATGATATCTATGGCTTATTTCATTTTTGAATAAATATATTTACAACCGTAACTTGCGTCATCATGTAGAAATGTCTGTAACAAACGGTGGTTGAAATGACAACAATAACATCAATGATGTCAGGATTGACCCCTCTTACTCGTTTTTCCCCCCGATACACTCCAGCAGTTTTTCTGACTGAGTTGTTTTTCTAATGACCCTTCTGACACAGAAAGGCATTGGTTGTGGCTACAATGAGAGCATTGTCCAAGATAACCTACATGTCAAGCCTGACTTACCAGCAACTGCCTGCTGCCTGCCAGGGCACCCTCAGCCTGTCACTGCCCCGTCAGCAGTCGTGTGTTCTGGTGGTGGCTACTCTCTCTAGCAGTCAGTGCCGCCTGCCTATCAATCACAATTACGCTGTATGCTGTTTTCTTTTTTAATGAGCATGTAAATAAGGTAATCAGTTTTGAAAGCTGGCTGTTCTTGTGACTTGCCACTTATTAACACATTCATTTCAATTAGGTACAGGTATCACAATAATATTATTATCATCATAAAATGCCTCTCTATTCTTATTGGTGGAGGGGGTCACATTCTTCAGCAACTTTGAGAGAATGTGACTCTTTCTTTTTGTCTGATTTGAAACAATATGGGCATGGGGGAACCCCCCCCCCCCCCACACACACACCCACCCCTCTGACCCACCTCCCTTTCTCTCTTCTCCTCCCTTTCATTATCACTGCAGGACAGGTCCAAGGCTCTTGGACCTCTCAGTGACTTATAGAGAAAACAGTGCCGCTGACATGTATCATGGAGACAGTATCATACTTGCAGACTTGCATCCAAAACCGTCTGAATAAGGAATTCATCAAAGTCTTAATGTCGGACCTTTGACATCGACCACTGCAGACATATGAACCATCTTTACTCCTGGCTAAACAGACCTGAGATCCAAGGGAAGACTTTCAGGACTTAACGTGGTCCATTGAAAAGGTGATTTTATCAAGAATTTGAATACTTTTCCCTGAGTTATTTATTGGCACTTTTATCTTGGAAAATGTTTCATTGGTCTGGATCATAGCTCTGTTTTAGGACCTGTTTGCTTCAGATATTCCCTGGATCTAACTTTGTTGCTGCGATTACGGAGTTAAAGGGGCATCATTTATCATAAGGACTTCTTGTTGACAAAGCAAGGTTACATTTGAATAGGAAGACTATTTCAAGAAGACTTTGGCTGCAGGTCAGTGTGTGGCACTCTAAAAACAACATGGGGTTTGTATTTTGGATGTTTCCTCTTCTGGCTCTTCCAGTACTTCAGTCTGCCAAAATCCTGACTGTCTGTCTAATTGGTGAGTAATGGAGTGTCCTTCAATGGTAGTAATAGATGTATTCATTTAAAAAATGTGTTCAGAAATATAAAAATAAATGAGCGCCTCCTTAACATTTTAATATTCAAATGTATGCTGTATGAGCCATTTTTCAGACAGCATAGTGATTTGTTGTAATTCTTCTTCTCTCACTTTCTCTAGGAGGAAGCCACTACTTATTATTAGATGAAATTTCTCATAACTTACACGAGCATGGCCATCAGGTCCGCATGCTCTTGCAACTGGGCAACCCTGTTATCAAAGGTAAACTGTTCATACAGAACACACACATGTACAGAAAGTATTCTTGCATGACACATCTTGTCACAGTTTCTTTCATAGAAATGACTCTGAATCCCTGTTAGGTTTTTCCTATGCTGGCCGTGCAGACAGCTACCAGACGACCACTTGGTCCGTAGGAGAGGAATACATCAGAGAATACAATGGCTGGTTCCTGGAGCAACAGACACAGTTTTTACTGGGAAGGTATCCCCAGATTTCTTGGACACTTCGATACAATTGAATTATTTTAGAAGAAAGAGAGAACTCTTATAAACTACCTAATTTAGTTTTCAACTTTTGAGTCTGGTATTTTGTAGCTCTTCAATTTGTCTGATACTCATTTAGAATTCTGAACTTTCTTAGAGTTTAAGATATTTGTAACTTGCGTCATTGTATTATATCAGATTTAAATCTTGTTATGATTCCGACACCCCTCTGTCATTTTCTTGCTTTCTTTTTTCTCTCTCAGGGATAGCTTTAAGAACTTTCTAAACTTCATGGGGCACCTGTCCTATCAGTGTGACAGGCTGTTAGCGGACAAAGACATCATAAGTTTCCTCCAGAGGGAAAACTATGACATCGCCATCCTTGATGCTTTTAACCCCTGCTCCTTCATCCTGGCACACAAACTTGGTACATCTGCTCTTCTTATCGCCTTGGTTATTTTCATAATTACTGTCTTTGTTTAAATCTTTCCCAATTCAACAGTTATGTATTATTTATCAATACCGTGCCACTTTTATTCATTGCAGATATACGAATTGAAATGAATTGTGAGGCCAGATTTATGGTGTTTTATTTAAAATCTACCAATAACCATGAATATATTTACAAATGCTAGGTTGTCCAGCTGTATAATGTTGGGTTTTTCTAAATTAAGATCCAAATAAGCCCACCAAATGTGACACAGAGAATCCTCCAACTGCACCGCTCTTAAGTCTTGGCTGCCTTCTACTTCATGGTAACTTAAACACAATATTTATTTTACTCTGGCTTTATTTTAATGACTATTTTTCCATCCCATTTTTAGCCTTGTTCATAATTGTCTTTTTTATATAAAAGTTTTTTTCAACTGGCCAAGAAAAGCTGCATGCTGGATCTCGATATGGCTTGCAATGAGATTTATTTATTTTTAATGAAATTCAGTGAGAGCTGTGTGGAGTATTTATAGAACGGCCAAGAATCTACTGTAATTTAAATTATTAATTATTACTTAATTTTGAATGAATTGAGCCATTATCAATGTTATTTATTGAGTTTAGCTGTGACACACGAGCAGAATTTGGACATTGCACAGCTGGCTAGTTAAACAGGGATTATACATTTTTTTTAATGTGGTCAAAATTACTTTTTGGTCCTAAAAAAAGAGAAGCCATATTCTTCCCAGACATGCAATTTAATCCCTATAGCCTCAAAATGTAGCCTCATAAGCCTAACACCTCTCGCAGCCTACCTCTTTATGTGCCTGTGGTTTGGGTGTGGTGGCTCTCAGTGTTTGTAGCAGTGAGCTGGTCTGTACGTTGGCATAAAATAACGGAGGAGGTGGGACTCAAGTGCCCTCTACTGGTGGAGGGGGAGGCGGGTCTCTATGCTGGGTGTGTGGCCTGAGGTGTGTGTGTGAAGGGTAATGAGTTTTTCAAGCACTCATGCAGAGGAAAAAGTGTAACATAAGAGAAAAGGACCTTTATGTTATTGATTGTCAACATTGGTTCTGACTTGTCTCTCTTAAAATGTTTCTCAGACTCTATGCAGTGTTGATTTTCTTCTTCTTGTCTATATGCAAACACTTCAATGTGTTGAACCAGCCAAGTTCAGAAATGAGATTAAAGCTGTCATTTTGTATCTACATATTTGTTTCCTATAAGATCCCATGGATATAACACTACTTGTGTTGACCCCCTGCATGTTGCAAGTATAAATGAGGGAGCAGGTAAAGACAATCATTTGATCAGGTGCCAACTCCAAACCTGTATCATCGGCCAAAGTCCCACGATAAGGAAAACAGTCGGTTGTAAATTGGAAATAAAGTTCTGTGTGGGCTGTGCGCAATATTTATAAGTCAAGACTATACTTTTATTTCAATGATTAATCATTAATTAATTAATTATTAATTAACAGAACAAAAGTCAGGATTTAGGAAATGTTTTATCTTGCCTCAGGACGTATATCGCTTATGTTTTCGTCATGAATTTATTTTTGATACATGTTATTCACTTTGAAGCAGTGTCAGAGTTTGTCTAACTTGTGTTTTCCACAATCTTTCTCCAGGGATATAATTGAGAAAAATCCCTGAAATCTACTGTTTTTATTCCTTATTAGCTTTTCATGACAAATCATGGGGACATGTTAGTCCTTGTGGATGGCGAATAACCCTGAATAATCAAGGGAACATGGGGCCCAGGCTTTCACGGAAACAAATCCCAACAGAAAACTTTGAATCACTCAATGGACAGAGGAAACTAATGTACGAGTCAAAACAACCTTGGTCAACGTTTCTCTGCTTGCTACTGATGGATGTCAACATTTCATCTTGTGTTGTCATAGTGTCTGCCATTATTAGCACAGACAGAAAGTGTACAGAGGGTCACTTTGTCTTTGGGAGTGCGGCTCTCTGCTGTGTGTTTGAGAGGCAGACCCACTCATGGCTCCCCTTTGCTTATCTTTCCCATGATAGCGCGTCTCACGCTGCGTGGGCTGGACTCGGCCCTCCTCCCGGCCCTGCTGGCTATTCTCCCGTCTCAATAGCTCTGCTTGACTCCCCAAGCGGAGCCCTGAGTTGTCTGGGGGCCCACAGTAGAGATCCATCCCTCTCTCTCTCTCTTTCTCTTTGGGACCCTCAATCCTGCCCTCCCTGCTGCACTCACCCCCCACCATCAAGCAAGCGAAAACCCCAGCTCCACAGGCTGGGCGGCGGGGAACTGGGGTCGGTCCACGCCTCTCGCTAAAGATCCCCATGAAAAGGGAAGAGAAAAAAAGAAATCTAGGCTACCAGGTTGACCCAATGCTAGCCTGTTTGTCAGACAGCGCAATTTATGGCAGAGTCTGAGATACTGCTGGAGCCGAGCTAACAGTTAACAGTTCCCAAGGACTTCAGACGGGGAGGCAGAGAAAGGGTTGGAAGGGAGGGTGATGAAGAGAGGTGGAAAGATAGGGAGACGAAAAGAGACGGAAAAGGAGCAACAGTGAAATAAAAGGAAGTGACAGGCAGAAGAGAACATCGAAAATGTAGAGGTAAAGGAAAGTGAGAGTAAAGACGAGAAAAGAAGAAAGAAAGGAATAGTGTGAGTAAGATATTGGTACATTGAGGGAGACAAAGAATGAAACAGAGAGCGGCATAGCAAGAATTTTATAAATTCTTCAGACAAAAATAACGGAATTTGGTGCACTGATGGGGAGAAGATGCTTGCAAGTGAACAAATATTGACACTGTGCTACCTGCATACTTGAACTTCAGAAAAAAAAATATGCCATGTTGCCACTCAATGTTACATTTCCAAACTGAAGATTACCTTTTTATTTGTAATTAGGGGTCCTTGTTGCGATATCTAACCCTGTTCTTGCAAATGCAATCTTGGTTGGGAAGCAGAAACGCCATTCCTGAAATCTTGAGTTGGAATCAGAGTTAATGGTGCTCCCTTAAATACCAACATGTATAAATGAATAAACACTCACATTTCATTCTGCTATAGGATTAAAAAAACATATTAGTCTGTCTTCTCTTTCTAATATACTATCCGGTCTGTGACACCAAGCCCCAAACCAATTATTTATTTTAGTCTGATGTACAGTATGTCTTTTAAAATGTGTTGCAAATTCGTTATATAGTTTACTTTCTTCAAACCCCTTCTCAATAGCATTTCCTGTTGTGGTAATTCAGGACCGTTTTTCTGGGATGGAGCCAAAATACACTGCACTGTGTGTGTTCCTGGTAATGAAGGCACGTCAAACACTGCAACATAGTGGCTTACTGATGTGTTTTTAATAGTTTTTGGGCATCAATGGAGCTCTGAGGCACAGAGGAATAAAAAACATCATGCTGTGATACACAAAATACTTGTTAGTAGATGCATTCATTGCTGGTTTTGGTGAATTCTAATGGAAAGTTGAGTAATGATGGACAAAGATGACTCAATTAGTTGGAGATTTTGCAGAGTGGGAGCCTCACATGAAATATGAGATTTATAGATGAGATTACAGGATAGCAGGTGTAATGACAGAGTGATTGAGAGAGGAAGACTGGGTGAGAGAGGAAGACAGATGGAAACAGAGATGAGGCGGGTTGAATGGGGAGACTGGATGCATGCAGAGTGTGAGATATCAATTGAATAACTGTACGCCCAGCTTGCTTGCGGTTGCCATGGACACCTTGCAGCACAGAGCCGAGGGTCCCGGGAGTTTCTCGACGTCTCCTGAGGGAATTATCAAGATGACGTCGTTAGCGGCTGTAACCGTGGTGACAGGTCTGACATCAGACACGTCTCACAAGTGGAGCCGTTGTTGTCTGCAGGTAGACGGGCAGCAGGGAAGATTCATAACGCCTCTGTGAGACAATTTCACTTTGCTGCAGCTCCACACTGCCAGATCTTTTCTCTGTGAAATATTCATGCCATGCTTTTGGTAATTTATAATTAATTGAATGCATAGGGTCTCCTATCTTCAACTCAAACTACAATGCAAACTAGACTTCAGGGAGGAGAGAATGTATTATCTTAGAGATTCAAAGAAAGAAATGTGCAGAATTCTTTCGGGGATGTAAAGACTGGGAAAACATCTCTCTCAGCACGGATAAATATTTGGATTAATCCTGGTTTTCTCATGCAAAGTGGGGGCCTTAGCGATACCTTCAGCAGAGCGCCGGCTCCTGGATGAGTTAAGTAAGCCCCAACAGCTTAAAGAGATCCATTGGGATCCCCCCCCTACTCCATTTTCTCCTGCTGCCCATTCAAAGAGTAGCCAACAGCATGAGATGGAGGCACACTCATGTGTGAAATAGACTCTTCATAAGGACGCTGGTCTTTGGCCGCCTCGTTTTGGAACCTTCGTCTTAATCCCCCTCCGATTCTCAGAGGAGGGAAGGCCTTTTCTTCAGGAACAGAGAGTGAGGGGCGGGCAGGGGGAGAGGCCGATGAGTCCATTGACAACAGTTGTGTATCTGTGGAGATTTAGGTGATGATTTCATAAGCAATGGTTGACTGAGCAGCAATGGCCCTCCCACTCTTAGAAAAAAACACCCTCAGCTCTGCAGTTTCTTCCTTTGCTGATGTGTTTGTGAAACTAACTGGTCAAGTTTTCCTTTAATGCAAACAATGGGCTCGACCCCCATTGGTATATATTCACGCTCATATACACACACAGAAATTAAAGCTAAGACAAAATCTCACAAAGACACCATCGTAGTACCTTTTTGGGGCACACACTTATACTCACTGAAACCTATAATGCACCTTTCAGACCCATTGAAAATACTAACACGTATCTTTGGGTTTATTTTCTTTAAAAACACACATGCAGACCCAGACACACTCTTACACGTTTACATACAAAGCCATGGGAACATATATTTTCTATCCGCTATCGAATGTCCAAACTTAACAAAAATGTGAATTACAAGTTACGTTTTGAATGTTC